AGTTAAGATTGCATTGTTACAAACTTATATAACTATTTTCACATTGAGGTTCTAATGCTATGAGAGGCTAGTGTTTTAATTAATCCTGTAAGGCCAAGGATACAGATACAACCTCATACACAGACAGGAAGGATTCATACCTCTGTGCACATGTATCTTGCTCCATTTCATCATCTCATCTCTGGGCAATTCATGCCTAGTTTTCGCTAAAGCAGTAGCACCATGTCTGGCTTACACCTAAGACTGCATATAGGGTTGGTTACCTAGTTCTTATGACAGAATACTCCCCCGCTTCCTCACCCCCACAAAAAACAATCCCTGCACATAAAAAGCTAGTAGTAAAAAGGATAACTTGGAACCTCCATAATATCTAGTTCTGAGGACGCGCTGCTGCGGAGCAAAGCTCAGGGAACCAAGGTTCCATTTAGATGCCAGGAAGCACTTCCTGATCGTCAGGATCCCAAGGGTGTGGAATGGGCTTCCATGGGGGGTGGGTAGTTGAGGCCCCATCGGTGAGGGTGTTCAAAGATAGGCACATGGTGGGCATGTCGTGAGCGGAGCCAGCTGGGGGTCAGACTAGATGGCCCGGGAGGGTCCTTCTGACTCGCGCTGTTTCTATGTGCAAGGAATATTCCATGTGTATCCAAAAACACTTGGTCACATCTGAAGTGGGGTAGCACACTCAAAGGCTTACCATTTCTATGGGAATGAAGCTTGTTAAGACTTTCAGATGGACGTATGAAGGGCTTCATTTTATTGATAAGATAACATGAGATGATATAAGAGCTCTAGCTTGTAATTTGATCTGACACGATTATTTCACACATTCCTGCTGTAATTTGTTGAGGCAGACATACAGTGATGGTCATTATTATAACAGTTGCCTTCCTTTACTGGCCAGTAGCTAAAACTCTTTGATGCACAACAATTGATAAAATACAATATAAAATTTCAGTAGAAATGTAAAATTGAATCAGCTAAGATAGGTTTGTACAGCTTGGCCTACTAAAAAAGCTGTCAATTCCCCCCTTGCTATTTAGAGCTGTCGAATGCTTATGCATAGAGGATATTATTATTTTTTATACTGCCCATAGCCAAAGCTCTCTAGACAGTTGACAGCAATAATCATATAATCATACACTCAAGTCACCCATCCCACATCTGCCCAGACCTGACCCTGCTTAGCTTCCAAAATTAGGCAGGATCAGGCACTTCAGGCTACATGGAAGCTACTAAACTATACTTCAGCTATCCATGGAAGCATGGATAGTCTTAGCCTGGGTCCAAAAGGACAGTAAAGGTGGCACCAGGTAAGACTCAGCAGTGAGATCATTCCATAATCTGAGGGCTACAGCAGAAAAGGCCCTCCTCGTCCCCAGTCGAGCCTCCTTTGGGATGACTCTTAGATGAAGGCCTCAGACGCTAACCATATTATCTGGGTTGGGAGAGCCCTTCTGTCAAGTATTGCAACCACTCAGCCATGCAGGTCTTTAGAAGTTAAAATCAGCACCTGTGTCTTGAGGTGTGTCAGGATCATGTAACTGGGTTCCTTGCATACTGTTGGAATAAAAGCTTATATACGTAATCAAGTGATAATGGCATTTGGCATGCAGTTTAAATATGGGTGGCTCATGTCAAAGTGGCGATTCTGGTTTCCAGGTTATGGCTAAGTGTATTGGAATGACTGGAAGCTGCATTAACATTGCAAAATACCACTATGAAGTAGGAAGTTCATAGACAAAACAGTGCAATCCCTTCTCTTGCAGGCTGCCTCCATAAGAGAGCATCAGCTGCTACTGCACATGGCATGATTTTAGCATGCTGATTTAATATTTACAGAGTGCCAATAAAAATTTTATGACGACAGCTGGTGGTTCCTGTGGTAATTTATAA